GAGGTCAAGAGATCGAGACCATCCTGGTCAACATGGTGAAACCCCGTCTCTACTAAAAATACAAAAAATTAGCTGGGCATGGTGGCGCGTGCCTGTAATCCCAGCGACTCAGGAGGCTGGGGCAGGAGAATTGCCTGAACCCGGGAGGCGGAGGTTGCGGTGAGCCGAGATCGCACCATTGCACTCCAGCCTGGGTAACAAGAGTGAAACTCCGTCTCAAAAAAATAAATAAATAAAAAATATATAAAAATGTGCTGGGTGTGGTATCGTGTGCCTGTAATCCCAGCTACTCAGGAGGCTGAGGCAGGAGACTCGCTTGAACCCGGGAGGTGGAGGTTGTGGTGAGCCAGAATCACCCCATTATACTCCAGTCTGGGTGATAGAGCAAAACTTGGTCTCAAAAAAAAAAAAATGTGGAAGGGTGGCGTGGGTCACACTGGCAGAGTGTCTAGCTGAGTGCGCACTGCGGGGCCTCTCTGCCCTGGCCTCCACTGGCAGGTGCTCACACCGGCTCCCATCTGGAATGGAGTTAGTCCCCCCAGCCTGAGGTGCCTTGTGTGAAGCGTGGGCTCTCACCTCACTACCCTGGGCTGGCTCCGTGTCACCTCATTCATGTTGCCTTTGGGGCCATTGCCAAATTTGACGTGGTGACCTGTTTAAGATGTCAGTTTCCAGGGAAGAGCAGGGTCCACAATAACAACTTACCAAGGCTGTACACGTAGGTACGGTGGCCCTGGGGAGCGTTTGCCAGCTGCGAAAGCCACCTGGCAGGCAGGTGGGCGGGAGCCAGGTGAGAGGTGGGCGGGAGCTGGCAGGAGCTGGGGGTCCCCTCAGGCTGCTTTTCTGGGTGATGTCGTATTTGCCACACAGCAACCTGGTGGCCCTGCCTGTTGCCTTCAAAAGAGAGCCTGCTGTGATCCTGGCTGTTTCTGTCTCCAGGTACGATGAAGAACTGGCCCAGGGTGACGGGGCCGACCGGGAGCTGAGAAGTCGTCAGGGCCAGTCTCAGGGGCCCAGGGCAGGCCGATCGAGAGACTCAGGGAGAGCCGTTCTCACTACCTGGAAGTGACTCCAACCCGGACCTTATCAAAACGACTCACTCCCCTGGGCCCCTGCTGAAGCCCTGTTTTGAAATTTTCCTTTTCTAGAGCTTTTTTCCTTTCCTAAGCCCTGTAAATAAATGAAAGCACTTCTTTGGAAAGTTATGGAGTCTGTTTCACTAGTGCTGAAGGAACCAATTCATGCAGATGTATAAAACTTGCTTTTTTTTTTTTTAAAAGATGGGGTTTCTCCATGATGGCCAGGCTGGTCTTGAACTTCTGACCTCAGGTGATCCACCCACCTCAGCCTCCCAAAGTGCTAGGATTACAGGCGTGAGCCACTGCACCCGGCCTCTAAAACTTGCTTTTTGAAAAAATTTTTTTAACCTAAGCAGAATTACCATATAAAAAACTCATCCTGTTTTTGGCAGAAAGTAACAGCTTCAGCGTGTAATTTAATGTGTCACAAGGTTTAAACATTTAAAAAACTAGGGGCCGGGCGCAGTTGGCGCACACCTTTAATCCCAGCACTCTGGGAGGCTGAGGCAGGTGGATCACAAGATCAGGCGTTTGAGACCAGCCTAGCCAACATAGTGAAACCACGTCTCTACTAAAAATACAAAAACTTAGCCAGGCATGGTGGCAGGCGCCTATAATCCCGGCTACTCGGGAGGCTGAGGCAGGAGAATCGCTTGAACCTGGGAGGCACATGTTGCAGTGAGCTGAGATGGCAACACTGCACCCCAGCCCAGGTGACAGTGGGAGACTCCATCTAAAAAAAAATTTTTTCAAAAAAAACTTGAAATTAAAAACAAAACAAAATCTTAAAAAAAAAAAATCTTATAGACTAGCCCTGCCATAAGAAAGGAATATATTTAACTGACAGACCTTTTAGTTCCATTTCTTTTTACTTGACTGTGATTTTTTTTTTTTTTTAGACAGAGTCTCACTCCGTTGCCCTTGCTGGATTGCAGTGGCACAGTTTCGGCTCACTGCAACCTCCACCTCCGGGGTTCCAGCAATTCTCCGGCCTCAGGCACCCAAGTAGCTGTGATTACAGGCGTGTGCCACCACACCTGGCTAATTGTTGTATTTTCAGTAGAGACTAAATCCTCCTGTCTAAGCCTCCCAAAGTGTTGGGATTACAGGCATGAGCCTCCACGCTCGGCCTCAGAAAGAACTGTTTTTGTCACTTCAGTTTTGTGGATGAGTCTGTTGTAAATTGAAACAGACCAGCGCAGACAGGTCCGGCTGCGTGCCTTTTATGATGTCAGCAGCTGGGTTTGCTGCAGGGAAGCACTGCGGACAGCCAGGAAGTGTGGGAGGGGCAGTGGCTGCAGTACAGGCTGCGTGAACGCGGTGTTCCCATCCCGTCTACCCGTGGCCCAGTGGCTTACAGGAGTTATGGAGAGAACCCAAGTCGCTGGGTAGATGGACAGATGCATCCGAGTAATAACTCACAACTTACAGTGCTGTTCTTAGGACGGGTCTTTTTTTTTTTTTTGAGATGGGAGTTCCACTCTTGTTACCCAGGCTGGAGTGCAATGGCATAATCTCACGTCACTGCAACCTCCACCTCCCGGGTTCAGGCGATTCTCCTGCCTCAGCTTCCAGAGTAGCTGGGATTACAGGCTTGTGCCACCATGCCTGGCTAATTTTTGTATTTTTAGTAGAGACAGGGTTTCACCATGTTGGCCAGGCTGGTCTTGAACTCCTGACCTCAGGTGATCCTCCCGCCTTGGCCTCCGACAGTGCTAGAATTACAGGCGTGAGCCACCGCACACAGCCAGGAAGGGACTTTTATTCATGGTAAAAGTTTGTATTAACACGTATTTGCTGAAGCTTCACTGGCTGTCTTGAGTTTACCTTTAAAGCTTGTTACCTGTTTTTGTTGCGAGGTTAGTGACAGCAGTTTGTCCTCCCAAATGGCACCAAGGGCATGTCCTTCAGATAAAGGTCTTCCCTGACCCTTGCCCAAGGTCTCTCAGTACCCACACGTGGACACGTGTCAAGTGTACATGCCGTGTCGTGTTTGTGTATATGTGCACGTATATTTAATGATGTTTCACTGCCAATCAGGGAAGAAGAGGGCTTTTCAACACATGGGTAGAATAGAAAGTGAGAGAAACATAGTCCAAATGGTACTTGGCAAGACTCCAAATAGGCTGCAACTGGGGGACTTCTCAGCTGTTCCTTCTTCATGATCTGATTGCTATGTGTGTTGTGTGTGTTCCCTGCTGTTTAGGCGGGGCTTTTCTTTTTTGAGTTGGAGTCTTGCTCTATCACCCAGGCTGGAGTGCAGTGGTGCGATCTCAGCTCACTGCAACCTCTGCCTCCCAGGTTCAAGCGATTCTCCTGCCATAGCCTCCCAAGTAGCTGGAATTACAGATGTGCGTCATCATGCCTGGCTAATTTTTGTATTTTCAGTAGTGACAGGGTTTCACCATGCTGGCCAGGCTGGTCTCCAACTCCCAACCTTAGGTGATCCCCCTGCCTTGACCTCCCAAACTGCTGGATTACAGGCGTGAGCCACCGTGCCCAAATGTGGCGTTTCGTTTTAATGTGTTTGCTGCTGTTGTCGGGTGTGGGATGGAGCCCCTGAGTCAGACCTGGCCTTTCAGCCTGGCTCTGCTATTATTCGCTGTTCCCAAGCTTGTCCTCAGGCTCGTTGCACCTTTGTTTCCCGCTGTATAAAATGGGGAGTTTTGCCCGGCGCGGTGGCTCAAGCCTGTAATCCCAGCACTTTGGGAGGCCGAGGCGGGTGGATCACGAGGTCAAGAGATCGAGACCATCCTGGTCAACATGGTGAAACCCCGTCTC